TCCATTGTGTATATATACCACATTTTCTTGATCCATTCATCTACTGAGGGGCATCTGGGTTGGTTCCATATCTTAGCTATGGTAAATAATGCTGCAATAAACATAGTTGTGGTGGTAGCTTTAGTGTGGTCTTGTTTGTAAGCATTTGGGTAAATGCCCAAAAGTGGGATTGCTGGGTCATAGGGGAGTTCTATGTGAAGTCTTTTGAGGAACCTCCATACTGCTTTCCAAAGTGGTTGGACAAGTTTACATTCCCACCAACAATGAAGTAAGGTTCCTTTCTGTCCACATCCCCTCCAGCATCTGTTGTTATTAGAGTTCTTGATTTTTGCCGTTCTATCTGGGGTGAGGTGATATCTCAATGTTGTTTTGATTTGCATTTCTTTTATGGCTAGGGATGTTGAACATTTCTTCATGTGTCTATTAGCCATCCTTCAGAAATTAAACTTTTAAGATTACTAAGAATGAAATAGTTTATATTAATTTATACTGAAATGCCTTTGGATTTTTTTAAAGAAGGAAAGCAAAGTATCTCTAGAGGTAGAGAAACTGAAAGCCAGTTGGCAGATGAGTAAGATATTGCCCTTGAAAAACACCAATTTGAACAATTTGGATTGTTCACAAGAGCCAAAAAAGCCAGCTGAGAGACCACAGTGCCTGGTTTTAATAGCACAGAAAGAGCTGAAGTACCACAGATGTACTGAAGAAGGTATACACGAAAGGATGCCCAAGTCATGCTACTCAGACTACAAGCAGCAGTGTGCATATGCCTCCTGCCTGGAATCCAGTCCAGGCTTTACCCTTGGAAACATCTTATACAGTGAAACCCACAGGCATAGAAATCTACTTAAAATGACTTAGTGACCTGATACAAACTTTTTTTTTAATGAATTGTGCCATAGATTGGAATTCTAAAATGAAATGATCTTACACAGTTTAACTGCATTGGATCGAGCTGGGGTATAATGCAATGGTTCAGTGGTAGAGCATTGTGTAGTATTGGTTTTTTTTTTTTTTTGTTTTTTTTTTTGTTGTTGTTGTTTGGTCTCTAGAACAGCATGCTGGGGGAGGTAGAGTAGATCCTCCCTAGGTGGTCAAGGCAAAAAGTCACTGAATCTTTCATTGATCAGGGATGAGGAATCTTTTTTGCCAAGGGGCACTTGGATATTATAACATCATTCCAGGGCCATACAAAATTGTCAGTAGAAGCAGACAGGCCAAGCAGAGCCTATGAGACGCATATGGGTCTGTCCTGGCACATACCAGATCATTTTGTGGACCAGACATTGCTACCCCTGAATGAATGCAGCCCTGACTCCATCCTGAACCATGCTAATAAGAATAACAAAGATGACACTGATGGGGGTTAAGCCAGAGGAATGTGTAGATGTTGAGCCTAAAGAAGGGCCCCAAATTTTCTGGTACCAAAGGCTTACTGTTCAAAAAAAAAATCACAGAATCTCCTTATGCTTTCCCAGGAAACCAACGGCCTTCATTTCTAATCATCCTATGTAGCCCATGGTGTTTACAAAGTCAAGAAAAGCAACTAAAACTGCCTATGGAGATCTTTCTGTGGGGGTAGTAATGTGATTACAAGTGATGGAGCTGGCAGTAAAAAGTCTGGCTTAAAGCCAGTGAAAAGCAAGGAAAATAACATGCCTCGGTGGGAGAGAATCAGAATTAGGGAGGAACACATTGTCTCCCACTGTTAGCAGCAGGAGGGACTGCTAGTCAGTAGATTTCAGCAATGGCAGTGACATCAATGAACCCTCAACCCCTAACTGTGCCCACAACATGGCACGTTATCTTACTTAATCCCCAATCTCTGAGTTAAACACTTTTCTCAAGGTCACATTGTAAATACCAAAGCTGGGATTCAGATTCAAATCTGACAGATGCCACTGTCTATTTCCTTATCCATCAAACAATGTGGCCAATATGATATTTGTTGTTAATTAGAGAAAATACACATAAACAGTTGGCTTAACCAGAATAATGTCTTTTGGCAGAAAAGAAAAAAAAGATGGGGAAGAGAAGTTTATTTTTTATTTTCAGCAAATTGCTCAAGGTCATGTCAGGAAGTAGTGCTGAGGTACCTTCATCCATTCCACATCCCATTCTACTGCAGGGCCACCCACAGCAAACAGTCAAGAGCACGATAAGGACATTGTATGGCCTGTCAGAATGCTTTCTGCAATGATCATAGCCAGACAAATTATTCACAGGAAGAGTTCTCTAGTAGAAGGTAAAAAAAAAGTCAGGGTACAGAAAGTAAATCTTTGTTTGGAAACTTACAAACAAAATTAAGTAGAAAAGGCAGAAATTTCCACTCTTGTATACACATAAAATTTTATGTGGAATTAAACTTGAGGATGTCAAAAGTGTTGAGTTTAGCTAGGTGCTGGTGGCTCACGCCTGTAATCCTAGCTACTCAGGAGGCTGAGATCTGAAGATTACAGTTCAAAGCCAGCCCAGGCAGGAAAGTCAGTGAGACTCATCTCCAATTAACCACCAGAAAACTGGCAGTGGTGCTGTGGCTCATGTGGTAGAGTGCTTGCCTTGAGCTGAAGAGCTCAGGAACAGTGCCCAGGCCCAGAGTTCAAGCCCTACGACTGACACACGCACACAGAAAAAGTGTTTTGAGTTTACCTACCTTTCCATTCAAGAATCTTTTACTTTGTCTTTGGTGGTTCTTGGGTTTGAACTTTGGGCCTTGTTTTTATACTAAATGGGTGCTTGACTACTGGGACATACCTCTAGCTCTTTCCTTCATTTAAAAAAAAATAAAATTCTGATTACAAAGATGATGTACAGAGGGGTTATAGATACGTAAGTCAGGTAAAGAGTATGTTTCTTTTTGGACAATGTTACCCCTTCCCTTGCTCTCTCCAAGATTTCCATCCCATCCTTACCCACAAGTTGTCTAGCTCATTTTCAATATGCACTAGGTTATTTTTGAGACAGGCGTTGCTTTTTGCATCAATATGCACCTGTACCGTCACCCCCCTATTTTATGCTTCTAACCACAGCTGGGACAACAGGGGCACACCCTGCTTCTTTCATCTAGAGTCTTGTAGACTTTATCCCCCCACTTGTCATGTACCTGTGAGTTTCTCATTCTCAGTCCCCCATGAAGTTAGGATGACAAGCATACATCACTGGGCCTAACTATGGGGAGGGAGGAGATCTTACAAACATTTTGCCTGAGTTGCTCTTGAATTGTTATCCTCTCATTCTCAGCCGCCCAAACTACTAGAATACAGGTGTGAGCCACGGGAACCCAGCTCCAACTCTATCTTTGATGCTCAGGCCAGCTTAATAAATGAATGCTGAATAAATAATTAGCTAGATATTGTGGCTCATACCTGTAATTTTAGGTACTTGGAATTACAGCAAGACTTCACTTAATGAATAAAGCTTGTTTCATAGTACCCACCCATCCATGATGCTATCTCAGTGGGAGGTATATTGACCAGAAAACTAGTCAGAAGCTTGCTCTGGAAAAAACTGGACACTATTTGAAAAATAACTATCACAAATAGGCCTGTGGTAGAATATCTGCATAGCAAGTGTGAAACCTTGACTACAAACCTCCCATCTTATCTTTCCTCCTCTCCCGCCAGAAAAAAAAAGAAAAAAAGATAATTGTTAAACTTAACGATAAGTGGCCCAAGTCTGTCAGAAAGATTTCTGATAATAGATAGGTAGCTGGTCACAGCTGGACCTGGGAGATTCAAAGCCTCCGAGAATTCCCAAGGGGTCTAGGGGTCTGCAAGGGGCAAAGGGCAGAGGAGACCCAACTGCTCAAGTTCCTTATAAAGGACAGTGAACTTATGCACACAATCATCTACCAGGGAGGGCTCAGGCAGTGTATATACTGAATGCCTCTGTGCTGTGCCAAACCTTAAGAATAGTACTGGCTTCACAAAAAAAAAAAAAGAATGGTACTGGCACAAGATACTGCCATTAGCAATGAGTTTCTCCCAGCTGACATCAAGCTTGGATAACACACATATTTTTAAAGACCTTTTGGCATATACTTTGTCTTCTCTATTCCCTTATGACTTTTTCTTTTGGCCAGCCTGGGGCTTAAATTCAGGGCCTAGGTGCTGCCCCTAAGCTTCTCAAGGTTAGCACTCCAACACTGGAGCCATAGTACCACTTCCTGCTTTTTCTGAGTAGATTGTTGGAGATAAGAGTCTCACGGACTTTTTCGCTTGAGCTGGTTTTGAACCTGTGATCCTCAGATTTTAGTCTCCTGAGTAGCTAGGATTACAGGGGTGAGCCACCGGCACCCAGCTCCCTTATGCCTGTTTTATCTCTGATTTTTGCTAGTTTAAAAAGTACAAGATAAGCTAAGTGTTGGTAGTTCATGCTTGTAATCCTAGCTACTCAGGAGGCTGAGATCTGAGGAACGTGGTTCAAAGCCAGCCTAGGCAGAAAAGTCCCTGTGAGACTCTTATCTCCAATTAACCACTCAAAAGCTGGAAGTGGTGCTTGGCTCAAAGTGGTAGAGAGCTAGCTTTGAGCAAGAGCTCAGGGACAGCGCCCAGGTCCTGAGTTCAAGCCACATGAATGACAAAAAAAAAATACAAGATCTGTTTTGTTTTATTGTATTTTGATTAACAGCATGACTAAATTTTTTTATGAGTATTTTGTTTCCTACATTAACTTCTCATGCAAAGAAACTTCACCATCTTTATAATTCAGAGAACTAGGATTTTTCCCTCTAGCAAAATCACTAATAACATTTCCCAGAAGATTATAAAATCAAACAACACCTAATTCAGTTCAAGGCAGCAAAACCCAAACATTTCTGGTGGAAATGTAGGACAATGCAGGCCAATGCAGACCACCATCAGACAAGGTAAAGCTAATGCTTCATAAAAAAATGTCTGAAACAACCCACCTGACCCAAATCCATATATTAAGGAAATTTAGGTAGAAACTCAGTGCTGGCGACATCACCTGATTTATATGCAGGGAAATCAGACACTTACCGTGGCGTGTGAAATGGTCAGAATCCCATTCTTCACGGCACACTTCCTTCTCTGCCACACCTTTCGGATCCTAGGGAGCAAGCCAAACAACTAAATGTAGTGTCTGATTCAGTCTGGGAAATGCAATCTTATAGTATGATTCGAGATACTAATCACAAAAAAGGATGACTCCCCAGCAAAAAGAAAATTCTTGTTGCCTCTTATTATTCCAGATGAATGGCAGATCAGAGAGTAGGCCTGTAAAAAGCTGGTCAGCATAACACTGTTTTGCATAGTGAAAATGTGAAATAGGAACAACAGCAATCTAACGGCAGGAGAATACATACATGACACAAATTAAAGTCCACTCTGGGAAAGAGCCAGGCATGTACCAATGGTAATGCTAATAATGAATTTTACCAATATCTGAAAATCAGTTACAAGAAGGCTCTGTTAACTGACTACTACTCTACTGCAATTTACAATAGATTTTAAAACACTGCTGGGTGCCAGTGGCTCACACCTGTAAACCTAGCTACTTAGAAGGCTGAGATCTGAGGATCTCTGTTTGAAGCCAGCCCTGATAGAAAATCCTGTAAGACTCTTACTTCCAATTAACCACCAAAAAACTTGAAGCGGAGCTGTGGTTCAAGTGGTAAGAGTTCCATCCTTGAGTAAAAAAGCTAAGAGAGTGCCCTGGCCTTGAGTTCAAGCCCCCCCCCCAACCCCATTAAGATGCCTGCCAAGCAAGGGAAAGAGAGGGTGACAACGCCTTGGGAAACTGATTTTAGTATACCTTCTTTTAGATCTTTCAGAAACAAAATGATTCCTCAGAGTCGCTAGAAAAAGAACTACGTTTATTGTTATCAAAAAATAAATGGTGCCCAAACTCTTGGCAAGTGATTGTGACAAATTTGATCCGAAGATGCTGAAGGATAGAAAAAGCCAGAAGGCCTTTTTTTTGAAAGCCCCAGGTACAAGCAAGAGATTGTGAGTGCAGGGCAGATCTGCACACATACAGGCAGGTACAGCTGTACCATTTGGGACTACTGCCATCAGGTAGGTGCAAAGGAACAAGGAACACAGACTTCCTGGGCTAGGAGAAGGCAGCAGGCTTTCTGTTGCCATGGAAACAAATGACATCAAAGGAGACCACAGTAGTTCTCCCAGGCCTTTAAAATAGTGTCTTGTGTTTCTTTTCCTTCTTAAATTCATCCTGTGAGAAAATGATCACAACTCAAATTTAAAACCAGCATTGAACAAATCTTCCTACATATGTAACTACTAGAAGCATAGTTTGTTCCAAAATGTGCTTCACAGAGGGAGAATCTGACACCTCTGACCAGATGTAAACTCCACACTGCTCAAAATGCCAGTTTCCTCAGGAGGCAATTTGCAACTATTAATTGAGAATATGTCCTCAAATTACAGTTAAATCACTTTCTTTTGCAAGTGCTGATTAGGGACAAGTTTGATTAGATGTAATAGCTGCCAAACAAGCACACCTATACATGGTTGAAGTAATCAGCTCTGTGCAAGTGGTTAGCATCTCATTTTGTCCTCTCAAAAGCCTGTCAGGTCAGGTATTTATTCTCTGTACACACTAAGCCAAAACCATGGCTTTCCTCTAATGACGTATTTTACAGTATTCAACAACCAGCCTAATTTAGCTTATTTTACTTAAATGTCATTTGTTAGTTTTTCTTACTTATGTATTAAGAAAACAAAATAACCATATGTCCTTTCACAGCTTATGAAGTCAAGGGAGAGTAACACAAAAGCACACATCTTTCTGCTAAGAGATAGCTAACAAGATGCTTTCAGATCCCTAGAGGAAGGCGGATAACAACACGCCCTGCACAGTCAAGAGCAGCAGTATCTCATTTTTGTAAACACTTTGAGGGGTTATTATTATTAGAAAGTGGGCTTGTACGAAGCTAGAAATAGTGTCACACCTATAATCCCAAATTTAAGGGAGGTGGAAGTAAGAGGATTGTAGTCTCAGGTTAGTTTGGTTAAAAGTATGGCTCTATATGAATATCAATTAAAAAAAGTACAAAACGTTGGACATGGTTCCAGTGGTAGAACACTTGTACAGCAAGCATAAGAACTGAGTTCAAATCCCAGTATAGTCAAAACAAAATAAACCAAAAGCTCCCAAAAAAACTAACAACAAAAAAATGGCTTGTACTCCTGAGCAAGTATCAACTTTGATACTAGATCATTTTAGCTTTCAGTCATCTGCCACAGTCCCAATCCCAACAAAGCTATGTAACTTTAGGGCTCACTTCCTTATTTTTACCCTGACAACATAAAACTCATTTTCTGAGATTATTTTAAGAAAAATATGTGCAAAGCAATTGCGTCTTTCTGGCCTCTGAAGAAATGCTTTTGAGGCACAAAGTATTATAGTTACTCCTGGCACTGGAGGCTCACACCTGTAATTCTAGCTACTCAGAAAGCTGAGATCTGAGGATCATGGTTCAAAGCCAGTGGGGACAGGAAAGTCCATGAGACTCTTATCTCCAATAAACCATTCAGAAAACTGGAAGTGGCACTGTGACTCAAGTGGTAGAGAGCTAGCCTTGAGCTGAAGAGCTGAGGGACAGCACTTAGGCCCAGAGTTCAAGCCCTACAACCAAACCAACCCCCCCCCCCCAGTATTATAGGTATAAAAATTTTGAAAACTGGTCTTCAGTCCTTAATAAGAAATAGTTAGCCAGGCACGGGTGGCTCATGCCTGCAATCCTAGTTACTCAGGAGGCTGAGATCTGAGGATCACGGTTCAAAGACAGCCTGGGCAGGAAAGTCTGAGACTCCTGTCTTCAATAAAGGACCAGAAAACCAGAAGTGGCACTATGGCTCAAGTGGTAGAGTGCTCACCTTCAGCTTAAGAGCTGAAAGACAGCACCCAGGCCCAGAGTTCAAGCCCCATCACTGACGGCTCCCCTCCCCCACCCACCCCCACTCCCCCCCACCCCGGCAAAAAAAAAATAGTGCAACAATTTGGGTCAGAAAAAAAAGGAGAGACTCACAGAACAGTTATGGTTAGCAACAACTGGTCTGTTATATGCTGGCATTTCAATCTTTTCTTCTTTTATAAAAGCCATCACAAATAACTCTGGCCTATCAATACTGGACTGCCTCTTTTCTAAGACACATTTCTCTCCCCCCTCCGCCCCCTCCCCCCCCCCCCCCCCCTTCCCTGGAGTCCTGCTCCTAATTATCTCTTTAATATCTCTTTTTCTCTCCTTTACTCTCTTCTTTTGTTTCGCTCTCCCAGTCCCCCCCCCTCTCCACCCCCCCCCCCCCCCTCCCCCCCCCCCCCCCCCGCCACCTCTTGCCAACAGACTGTAGAAAGGGTGAGAGTTAAGGCCACATTCCATTTACTTTTTACTTCTAGCATCCACAAGATATCTGAGATACTGGATTGTATATGCATAAAATGAGAGCACAAAGGAAGAACAGACTAAACAAAAGGAGTCAAGGGATGAGTTTATGCTAATTTTGTCTAGCACATGCCAAAGGTGATCAGCAGCAGTGGTCCCTTGAAAATATTGAGGGATGACACAGCTGGTATTATATCAGGAGACCAAGGTACAAATTGGGGATCTCATACCTTTGTCTATGTGATCTTGATGAAGCCAGCCAGGCATTGTGTAATATACCAAGGATGAGTTTTCTTCCTTTGCACTCAGTATCTGAGCATTCTGTTAACCCTGCCTTCATTACTCAGAATTTGACTGTTTTTACTACCTCTACCCTACTTTCCCCAGCCCCACCAGCAATTCCCACTGGAGATAGGCAGCAGCCTCCTAACTGGTCTCTCTGCTTCTGCTCTTAGTCTAGAACCAGAGACAACCTTTGAAAATGTATCCAATCATACCACTATCTTGCTCCAAATCACCAGTAACTACTCATCTTATTTGGAAGCATCCATTGACACTCTTACCCTCCCCCGCTCCATGATTTCTCTTCCTGTCTTCTCAAACCTCTTATCTTCGAGCCTCCCCCACTCCCTCACCTCCGGGCCAGTCTGCTGGGGATGCTCAACTCCTAGGTGTCTATCATAATGGAAAGCATGTTCCTGGCAGCTCCTTCCCTCCCATGACTGTACAGGTCATTCCCCATTTCCTGTCACCTCAGGAGTCTTCTGTGATTGCCAAAGTCACATCAAGTACCAGTTCCAGCCCTAGTATTCACTTCCAGCATCTCTTCCTGGCTCTGTCCTTCTTCTACAGCACTCATTTATCTTTATTCCATCCAATGACCTTTTTTTTTTGCTTCCTCTCTTGAATGTAAGTGCTATAAGAATGAGACCTTTCTTTTGCTCACACTATATTCCCAGTGCCTTGAAGAGTAAGTTTTAGACATAAGAGGATTTGCAAATAATTGTTGAATGCATATAAAGAATGACGGGTGGGGTGCATTTTTAAGATTAATACTTGCAATTTCAACAGATTTAAACAAAAATATAAGCATTTTAAGCGAGAACAATGTTGCATAGCTACAATCTGTCAGAAAAACAAGGAGCTTTCTTTTTCTATGTGTTGGTTCTGGGGCCTAAACTCAGGGTCTGGGTGCTGTCCCTGAGCTTTTTCTACCAGTTGACCTACAGTTGTACTTCTGGCTGTTTTGGTACTTAATTGGAGATAAGAGTTTCATGGTCTTTCCTCCAGATTGGCTATGAACCACTATCTTCAGATCCCAGCCTACTGAGTAGCTAAGAGTGATACACCTGTGCCTGATTCAATGAACTTTCTTTTTAAAAAGATGACACTTGGTAGCAGAAACAATCAGGGCTCTGCATATGTACTTACTGGGAAGTAGAATCATTTGTTTAAACAACAAAAAGAGACCAGTACAGCAGGGCCAAGAGAAGAAAGGTACAAGATGAGGCTCAACAGAAAGTGGAAGAAGGTACCATGTGCAAAGGAAAGCCACCAGGCATTTTTACTATGGGAATGATACCATGTGCTTTATATTTTTGACAAGATAACTGAGTACTATGTAGAAGTGAGCTACAGAGAAGAGGAGTGAGTGACAAGAGACCAACTAAGGAGGCTGAGCAGGAGAGATGACAGTGGAGCATCCCTGGAGCCAAAGCAGCGATAGCAGGAAGTGTATTACTTTTAGAATCAGAAAAAGAAGGGACCCTGTCAGATTATCTATGCTATAAATGAGAGGGTTAGGGGATTTGGGCATCTAGATGGTATCCCAGGTAGAAAATGCTGCTATGAATAAATGCAGAGGTGGGTTTCTTACTTGATGCTTTCTTAAATGAGCAGGTACTATGTCAGAAGTGTCATGTAGGGGCTATAGAACAATTACTGCTTTTTTTTTTTAAGAGACAATAGGTAAAAAATCTCAGACTTAGCTAAAGAAAACAGCACATAAAAACATTTTCTTCTTTAACATTCATATATTAGTTTATTGTGTTAAATTTCTACCTACACTATGGGAAAACCCATAGGCGTCCTTAAGGATCATCCAATGCAGGTTTCTCACATCTCCTGCGACTCAGCAAATAATTAGTCACTTCTCAGACAGGTTCTTCTCAAGCTCAGATATTGGAAACCAAAACATTTTCTAGTTGAGAGACTGGAAGAAGCTCCCCGTGGAGAGCGCCTAGTGGGTATGAGGACACATACAGGGATGCTGGGCTGGGCTATACATACCCATCACTTTTCTTTAGCAGGTATCCCTTCTTTTCACTGCCATATTCTTTATTGCCCTGTAGCTGATGCATGCTGTACCCGCCTTGTCGGCTCTGGGAGTCCTAGAAAACAGAAACCATGGTTACAAAAAAGCAGGAGACAATTCTTGAATCCTCAGCTCTATTATGGTATTGAGCCTTATGGATCTTTGAGTCCAAGGCAGAGCTGGAGCCTGCGGTCCAGGACTGCTCATTCTAGGTCAGAACCCAAGTCAGCTTTGAACTGAGCCCAAGCACACACAAGGCACTGAGAGAATTCTGAGTCAAACTAGTTCACACTAGCAGTAGAGGCAAAGGGGAAGCAATGGGAAGAGTGAAGCAGACCAGGTCCCTGGTCACATGGGATATGGAGTGCTCTTTCCTTAAGGCACACCCCCTTAATCTTTTGTAATGCTGCTAGTGGACTCTAAACAAATGAGAACCTCCTTTCAGAGTGAGGTATCAGCAACAGGTATAAAATTTTTCTTATGTAACCATCTATTCACTGAGCATCCCTAAATCAAAACCTGAAATCTTTTGAATTCTGTTAAGATGTCCAAAAAGTTTTTGAAGCATTTCAAAAAAATCAGATTTTTTTTTTTACAAAATAGGGTTGCTCAATTGGTAAAGCCTACATAAGTATCCAAAATCTGTAAGAAAACCTCTTCAATCTAAAAACTTTTGGTTCTAAGCATTCAGATACAGCCCATTCAAACTGCAGAGGTCTACAAAATGCACCTATTAGCAAGTCTTAGTTTAAAGTGATGACACCATGGCACAAGAAGTGTGTGAGGTGGTGATAGGAGCAGACCAACAACACAGATGCAAACAAGCTTCATTTCATATCAGCACTCCACTGCTGCTTACTCATAGTTTCTTGCACAACTAGGAACAGCCATTATATTATACGAACGTACACCACACATGAACAGGAGTTGAACTGGAGCATGGGAACAGGAGTCTCTAGACACAGAGGTAGGACAATGCATTCTTACAACAAGCATTAACTTACTCTCCTAGACTTCGATCAGGAAGGGCAAAAGCAACAGAGAAAAAAGGCAGAACATTTGAAAACATCGTTAATTTTGTTGAAAAATTCATAATCTAAGCACTTACATAATGTATACAACAAACATTGTTATAAAGATATGCCAGAAAATGCATCATATCTTCAGAATCATGATAATCTTTGGGTGATGGAACAGTAGGTATTTTTATGCTCATCAGGGTTTGTATCAGGCCATACTGAGAACAGAAACTGAACTGAAAGGAAGAAGATGAGGTACACATTTTACAAAGATAGGATGGTTGACAAATGTGTGTGTACCAGGATTCGGTACCTGGGAGAAACTCAACATGAAGTACTTGGAAAAATCTACTAAGAGCCACAAATTGTAGGAGTCCTCTTGTTTTGTTTTGCTTATCCAACTGAAGAGAACTTAATAACTATATTCATTTATACCATAAAGAATGCTTCAAACATGAGGGTACTGAGGGAAGAAGCTAAATCACCCATATTATTTACTGATGGCTGTGTACAGCATAACTTCAAGACCAAAATGGTCTTTTTGACATTCAGGATCCCTTTGGATCAAACTGTGTCCTCAGTGAGGCAAACTAATGTTAACATTAGTTAACTGTCAGGACAGTGCAACTCTGCACGCTACTCTACGTGTCATACAAGTTCTGTGTTCAAAACTACGTCCTAACCACATCCTAAAGGTCAGAATTGAGCACAGGACATGGCCTGGACTGTGAGGTGGATGCTAACTCTCACACTCTCTTCATGTCACTTGTTTAGTTAACTGAGAACTAACCATACATTTTCCCAACAAAGTTGAGTCCTAATGATTTTCTTGTGTTACTGGGGACTGAATCCAGGGATTTTCTCATGCTAGGAAAGAGCTCTATTACTTCGGCTATACCTCTATATATCCTACCCTCTAGTCACTTCCTTAATTTTTCTCCATTATAGGCTAGATTCCTTCCATTTAACTAGACAGCTTTAATTACATGGAGATGAGGGGTGGATCATGGATTGATATCTAGGTATCTAGCAAAGTTACTCTAATGTTTCCTTTTTTTTTTTTTTTTTGTTAGTCATGGGGCTTGAACTCTGGGCTTGGGCAGGGAGGTAGGGAACTGAAGCATGGGATAAAGTAGGGATAGGGATAATAAATGTACTCCCTGGAATTTTCCTGCTTTAACTCAAAGAAGCTGCAGGAAAATCACAACTACTAACCATTAGGGACTTCCTCTATCTTCCAAGAACCAATCAATCAACCAAATCTAAAATTTCCTAGGACACATTCTTTAAAACTACTTTTTTAATTTAAAGTAAGGATCCAGATGACTAGTGAAAACCATTCTATGAACCTTAGCCTAAATATATTTCTAACATTGATTAACAGTGTAAATGAACCTGCAGAAAAAGTATTTAGTCTAAATGGGTTTGCTGTATTTCAGACAAATATGCTTTTACAGGCAAAATAATAGCTGAGTTGTAGGCTTTGACATCAGTAAAATGACCCGAAAGGGAGAAATGCGTTTCAGAATTCAACAACAATGATTAACTATTAATGAGTATCATGGCTTAATAAGGTCACATTAATTAGTACTTGTATACTTTGAGAATAAGAGCCATCATTAAGCTTGCTTAACAGACAGTTAAAATTGAATGAAAAGAGGACTGCATTTTTTGAGAAAGTAGGTATTGTGGAATTCTCAACAATAATCATAATTTAAACCACAATTGAAGAGATGAAATAGGTCCTAAATTCTTTGACAGCATAATCAAAATCAATCAGTGGTCCAGGAAAGAGAAATGCACACAATAAACTCATTCAGGCAAAAATATGTATCATTATAAATACACAAAGAACTTAAAAGCTTGAGGAAATTTTATAATGGGAGAGATGAAATGTAAACTATAGCATGAAACTACCCTATTCATTTTCAATTCCATTTCCTATAGTCTATTTGCAGTACAGACATAACACTTTTGTTTGAAACCATATTAACATACAAAAAGCATTATTAAGGAATAAAATGGTACATTTCTTTAAAGTGCAAGCAATTACACATTCACTGGTTTAATGGGGTTATAAATGTTTCTAGCACCCTGCTTAAAACCTAATCTCACTAAAGGGGTTACAAATATTTACGGTGCAGAAGGACAGGTAAAGGATTATTAAACATGGGAATAGTGTCTGGGTACCAGGCAATGTGCTGCATGCTGCAAAGGAAAGTGAAGGACAGTACACACAAGCCATCAATCTTCACGCCACACTGATGGACCATTCAGAACTCAACAAGGAGGGGAATAGGGGCAGAACCCAAACAACCTGGAATTTGCTGGAATTATTTTGTGTACCCTAAATAGAATTTATAGATATCACCATTAGGAATAGAATAATTACAACCCTAAAAATAGCTGTGTAATAAATAGTTTTTTGGGACGTCAGGCTAATACAAAAGGCTAAGATAGTAATTTTATACAACATTTGCCATGACAATAAAAAATCTAATTTTAACAAGAGAAAAAAAAGAGCCTTCAAAAAAATCTGGGCTCTTATTTACAACCAAAGCTAAGCTGTTCCTCAGCTTTTTTTACTCAAGGCTGGCTGGCACTCTACCACTCTGAGTAACAATTCTACCTCTGGATTTCTGATGGTAAACTGGAGATAAAAGTCTCGCGGAATTTCCTGTCCAGGCTGTCTTAGTATCTCAATACTCAGATCTCAGCCTACTGAGTAGCTGGGATTACAGACATGAACCACCAGCCTCGGGCTACAAATAAGTAATATAGCCATGTTAGAACCTGGAGGTTTAATTAGGCTAAATTATACCAAGGGCTTTTAATTTCTTAGGTAACCTTTTAGGTAACACTCTTTTCAAACAGATTATGGCAAGAACTCTATGATGGACAGTGCCTTCACATTTAAGTCATTAAAAATTGTTAACTTCTAAAGATATTTTCCAATAAGGGATGGTACACAGAATGAGAAATGATAGGCTTGTTGTAAAAGATAATTTTTGTAGCAAAATATCCTTTACATTGTGCTAACTCATTTATTAATTTGAAATGGAGCTAAAATAAATCAAATCAAATACATTTCATTATGTATATTCTCCTTTGGTTTATATGAAACTTTGCTCTTTTAGTTAGCCTGAGCACTATACAAAAAAAAATATGGACTTTTCTTTCTCAGAAAGTATCTATTTATATAGAAATGAGGTAACCCCATGTGACAAAACAAGGGTAGGAAGCCTTCAAGTGCACACCACTAAGTAAATCTACCCCCTTTTCCTCTCTACTTAGGTATGTTTAATGCTCTGGGATTTGTATGTCCTCAATAGACTCAGGAATACAGCATGTTTGTGTTTCAGAGTGATACTTAAAATGTTTTCTAACACAGACTGAGGCTTCCAAACCTACATGTAGCCATGGCCTGGACCTGCCTGAGTATATATATGGTGCCTCAACACACAGATCTTCCTGGATACCATGCCTATACCAAAGGTAAGCAGGTACATAGTATTAGAAGGCTACAGATTTTTCTCACTGGACCAAATCCTAAAGCCTACATAGACTTGTACAAAGAGAAGCAGAAGAATATAGAACTTTAGGTTCTTAGTGAAAAACAACTTCCAGGTTGCTGTAAAGGCCAGTTCTGCTGATAAAGGATTTTTGTTGTTGTTGTTGTTCCTGATTGTGGTGAAGACTGATTTATCTTTGTTTGGACTCATGAGCACCTTACAGAAATTTTAAGAATTAAAAGGAAGTATACCACTGATTTGACATAGCACAAGGAATTCACAAGATAAAGGATTACATTTATGTACAACAACCAAATTTAATCCATAATAATTTTATAACATAAACAGGCACATGTGACTTTCTTCCATGTAACAAATGGTGATTACTACCAAATTTACCCTTATTAGGAAATCCATGCCCCTTAATGCAACAGCTACTCTTCCATAATAAGGTCTGAGTTTCTACCTAAGAAATCCCTTTCTATTCCTCTACCCTTCCTGCTCTCACCTGTTTGAAGCCCCTGATGATAGCAGGCAGTTTTCCACCTGAGTGGTTTAGGACTCCTCGCTGCGCCACCATGTCTAAGAGCATCCATATCAACTCAGACATGACTGTTGACTCAGCTGGTTCACTCTACTACACAATGAGTTCCTCAATGGAAAGGACTTAAGCTTACTATCTACACTAGTGTCTGGTACATAAAACCAGTTAGTGTTTGAGCAAATAACATTTACAATTAAGAACCTATATTACATCCTCTTAACACCTACTATATACTGTAAACCTTGTTTCAAATATTCAAGTACCAAGGACCATCTCAAGTCAATTTTCCTAATTCTGAGGCAAAACTTCTGTAAGTAGTATATATGTATACATATGTATACATGTGTGTGTTTATGTGTAAAATGTATATATAGAATGAGAGCTAAAGGCTGTTTCTACCCTGGGCAGCACACTTCTCCATTCTACCTCATCTGGTAGAACCACCCCACAGGAAGCTATCAATGTGCCTGTTTCACAAATCAGGAAACACAGAGTATTACAAGTAGCCTCACTTACACTGTTAGCCCTGCTGGGAACATATAAACCACCTACTTCTTTCTGATCAAGTTGAAGAGAAGATTTTATTAAGTCTCGGAGTGCAGTTAGCTGTTTCTTTTCTTCATCTTGGGTCTGTTTGATCTATAAAAGAAGAAATTACTTCTAGTACTTATCATGCTTTTAGGAATGCAGTTTAATTTATCAAATATACCATTCATCAAATAATTCAATTACATGGCTGATTTTCCTTTTAAAAGTCTTCATACTTTCTGTCTAGTGTTACCCTAAGAAGATACCAGTGAGTTTTGAAGTTAGTTAATAGTGCAACGTGTTTTCTTATTAAAGAACCCAAAAGGCCAGAAAATGAACTCTAAATTGCTATTTTAAGAAGGTTAAGAAGTATATTAAGATCATGTGTTTCTGGCTTTTCAAAGAATAGGAGCAGGAATACCTTGTGAGCACCAGAAAAAGATCACAGAAACACCTAAAAATCCTATGGGCCAATACATACACATAAAAGTTTATAATGCACTACATGAGGAAAGATATTACTACTCACTTCAGGTTGAACATTCCTTACCTGAGATGCTTGGACCAGAAGCATTTGCATTTTTTGGAGTTTAGATTATTGGTATATATACAATGGGTAATCTTGAGGATGGAATGGAAATCTAAACATGACATTTATTTATATTTCATAAATACCTTATTCACATGGGTTGAATGTGATTTTATACCACATTTTTACACAACTGCATTCTGAGTACAATCTCAGGTCAAGCATAGAAATTTTTACTTGTGGTGTCGTAGCATAAGTATTCAAACTCATATTTTAGATTTTGGATATTTGAAAAAAAATATTCCATCTGTATGATGTATTCTTTGCAAGTCTAAACACTATCTGAAGGTATTTCCTTATATACATTGGACATTCTTTTAGTGCTCCTTTCTGAATGATTGACAAATGATAAATAAAAATATGGGCAGCAAAACCTAGATATTAAAAAGAGAATACAAAGCAAGCTGAAGAAATCCATAAACCTGCCTATTCAGAGACAGTTACTAATTTTTATCCTTCCATGATCAAGTATTCTGCAATTGCAATTGCTGACCAAAAGGGTACTGAGGTGTGTAGCTGCTGCCTAAACATAGAACCATCTAGAACTCATGGTTTATATTCCTTCTCTAGTCACTGAAAGTCTGGAAATCCTGAACATGAATGGCCTCCCTGAGTTAAACTGAAAGCTTGTCTGCCCTACATTTATACTGACTCATCACTAAACCTTTTCTACTTCTAACAGCCTTTTTTTTTTTTTTTTTGGTGCCGGTCCTGGTGCTTGATCTCAGGGCCTGAGCTTTTTCACTAAAGGCTGACACTCTAACCACTCTGAATCATAGCTCCACTTCTGACTTTTAGTCGTTAGTTGGAGATAAGAGTCTCATGGACTTTCCTGCCAAGGATGGCTCTGAACCTCAATCCTCAGATCTCAATCTACTAGGTAGCTAAGATTTCAGGTGTGAGCCTCCAGCACCCAGTCTAACAGCCTTCTAATACAGATTTATATAATATTGATATTTTGTACAAACTGAAATGCACATACCACATAGATACTTACATTATATAAATCAGCAGCCAGCTTTTCAATGTACTGTTTCAATTTATCAGCCGTTTTCAAGCCATCTTGAAAGAAACTACAATGGAAAGCAATAGTGTTTTACTAGCAATTAAAAAGCAAAGGAATTATGATTAGGTGTATAATCTGAAAATACACACACACACTCTCTCCCCATTATCTTCACAAAGTAACCGTAAAACTACTTTCAGCATTTTATAGTGAGGTATAACAAACCATTTATAAAAGCCTATATTTGACATTTGATATAGATCTCTCAATCACTACCAGTTACAGCTGCATTCCTAACAGTAATTACCCATCCACCCATAGCATAATTCTTCCTGGTTGGGCCACATTTGCATTAAAGAGAGATACAATGGCCACTGGTTTACATGGAGCCAAAGTGGATATCATAGGAGATGTGACTAGACTTAAGTACAGGCAGGTGGGAAGCCAGTGTTTTTTCCAGTTCCCCAGAGAACAATGAATTCCTACACATACTCAAAACATAGGGTTTCAAAAACATTGTACCAATGGACTGGGAAAGCTGTGTCCTCATATTTATTTCCCCTAAATAATAACAAGAGTTAACCTTTGTGGAACATTTATCACATGCCCAGCACTGAACTACATACTTTTCACAAGTTATTTGCCTGACTCTCATGAGTTAAGCATTTCAGTGTCATGTTGGTTTTTCAGAAGGTACATTAACTTGCTTGGTCCCCACAGAAATGGGATTCAGGCTCAGGTCTGCCTGATTCTGAAACCGTATCACAACCACCAAGCAAAGAGAATCCCTGTCTTGGACTGAACCCTCCGTTCAGGAACCTCATCTGTGAATCAGCACAGAGAAAAACAAAATAAGCAGGACACTGGTGTTCAGAATTCCCACTGCCCTTCTGGACGCTTCTCTAACCATGTCCTTGTAGCACGTATCTATCTCATTATCTCCCCACAGCTAACAAGGACCATCTCATTTTCACATCACATGGGTAAATGGCTACAAGTAAAATTGTATAAAATTTTTTAGGGTCCATATTTCTTTTAGCTTAATATACACATTTACTATCAGCCACGCATCCCATCAGATTTGGCCTTTGGGGTGATCACTGAATTTCTACAAGCACTTTTTTTTTTTTTGGTGTGTGTGTATGCTGCTCCTAGGGCTTGAACTCAAGAGCCTGGGCACTGTCCCTAAGTTTTTTTTTTTTTTGGTCCGGGTGTGGGGCCTGAATTCTGGGCCTGGGCGCTGTCCCTCAGCTCTTCAGCTCAAGGCTAGCTCTCTACCACTTGAGCCACAGCGCCACTTCCGGCTTTTTTTCTTTTTGCTTTTGTGGTGCTGAGGAATCGAACCCAGGGCCTCAGGCATGCAAGGCAAGCACTCTACCACTGAGCCACCTCCCCAGCCCCTAAGCTTTTTTTTGTTGTTGTTGTTAGTCAAGCTCTGGGCCTGGGCGCCATCCCTCAGTTCTTCAGCTCAAGATAAGTGCTCTACCACTTGAGCCACAATGTAACCTCCAGTTTTCTGGTGGTTCACTGGAGATAAAGAGTCTCGTGAACTTTCCTGCCCACGATGGCTTTGAACTGTGATCCTCAGATCTCAGCCTCCTGAATAGCTAGGATTACAGGCGTGAGCCACCAGTGCCTGGCTTGTCCTGGAGGTTTTGTGCTTAATAATGCTAGCACTCTAATTTTAATTAAAGAGCCTCACATGGCCTTTCCTGCCCAGGATGACTTCGAACCACAATCCTCCAACCCCAGCCTCCTGAGTAGCTAGGATGGCAGGTGTGAACCACCAGCACCTGGCACATATTTTTTAAGGTTAATGTCTTCGGTGGAAAACCTTTTCGAAAATTAGAGGAAACACTAGTTTAGACAGTCATCCATCAATAGGAGTGGGAGCATAGAACTTTTTGGTTGTTTAATTGGAAAACACAATTAAATTCTCATTTTTAAACTTTTAGGTGTTCATCACTGCCTTCAGGTATGCAAGTTAAATTCGTCTGTATAGAAGTCATAACATTCAATGTACATATGTGAAAATGGAACCAGGTCACTTAAGGGGATGGGTGGGATTGGGAGAGATGGGGGAGGATGATGATGGAGAAGGCTAATTGATGGAGATGCATTGCATTTATAAACTGACATGCTGAATGGAAACATATTTGAACAACTACTTAAAGATAATAAAAACAAAGTAAAATAAATTCTCTGTATAGAATTAAAGAGCTTTTATGTGTTCTAGCCCTGTATACTTTTCTAGTTTTATCTATTACATTTTCCCTTAAAAACTTCCCAGCTCTGTGTAAGAAGCAGGAGCAGGAATAAAAGATGAGCTGCAGAGAAAACAAAGTGACCATGATGGTCATTAGTAATGAATTATTAATGCCACCAAAAGCAAACGTCAGCATTATTACAGGCTACTGAGTCCCTCTGGAAATTTGTTCTCTATGTTTGATTTTCTTTCCCTAAGAGGGTCACAGTTCCATCTGTGCCCAGGTGGCATAAAGCCACCACTTGCCACAAAATCTCATGGCAGGAGCAGTTCAAGTCCCTTCTTTCCTTCTCTATTGGTTATTATGCAGAAGAAATACAGGGACTTGGTCAAAAGCACATCCTAGTTTATCCCAATTTCATGAGAATAGGAATCCGACCTTCAAGACCTATGGGCCTCTTCAATTGGCTGTTCATTTGTGTCCTTAAGAGCAAGCCAGTAAAAATTAAAAAAACGTATTACTGCACCTCAACACAATAGGTAAATACCATTAGTTTACACAGGAAGTGCAGACAGTCACATGTACTTGGATAAGTTCTTGTGAGCACTGGAGATAATGTACTTAACATGCCAGGTTCAGAGAGGAAGTTCAATACATGATGGTTCCAGACCAATAAAATAGGTCTCAAGGACTCTCTGACCTTCAGGTCCTAAATAAACAGCTTGGAAGGCACATTACTTTATGACAGTAGGGTAGCAGGAATATATAAGTTGCACAACTGCAGAGTAGAGGGACCTCACATTTAGCCTGGAAAACACCTACTGCAGCCAAGTGCAAGCTCAGGAGAATCTAACTACATCCACCCATATCAGGAAACATCCTCCTCAGAATAAAGCTGGGCTTTCACCACTGTACCCTTTCATTTCCTTCTCAAGTCACTGAGTTCCAACACTGACAGGGAAGGAAAACAAAGCAAGATGAGTGTTCCCTTGATGTCTCTTTCTTAACTATTTTCTGCCTGACTTGATACTGTTTGGAGACAGGATGAAAAGTTCAGATAGATGAATGCTATTTCCAAAAAGAAGTTTGAACATGTTGCAAGATCACAGAGATGATTTTCCAAATTGTTAATGAGGAAGTGTATATTGGGAGGATCCTCTGGCCTGAGGTTAGTACCTACAGAAGTTAGGGAGACATCATTCATCAACAAGCTGAGTGAGGAGCTCTGCAGTCTGTACTTTCATAGAAAGGTAGGCAGAGGCTTTCCCGGAAAAAATTTGAAATCTTATCTGAAAAACAAACTAAAAGCAAAATGACTGGGAACATGGCATAAGTGATGGAACACTTCCACAGCAGATACAAAGCCCTGAGTTCAAACCTTCCATTCATAAAAAAAAAAATCCCAAACCAACCATCCAAGTAAACAACTCCTATGCCACAAAACTTTTTTTTTGCAGTGGATAATTCCTGAAAGCCTATTTTTTCCAGCTTCAGGCTGAGTCAGGAATACCATTTCCTGCATTCTGAGTAACAGTGTCTTTTAAAATTTCTCTTAGGTATCTCCTCAGTATATATACTGCAGAGGTTCAACCAACTTGAATGCACACTAATGCTTAACTGTAAATACATTGTAACAATTCAAGTCAAAGTGATAAAGAGTGGTATATGGATCTATAGGTGGAGATTTTTAGAAATGTAGATGTCCAGGCCCAATCTCAGGCTTATTAAACCAAAAAGTCTTTGGCATGCAAGCTCAAAAGTTAAAGACTTCTGACTGGGTGCCAATGGCTCACACTTATAATTCTAGCTACTTAGGAAGCTGAAATCTGAGAACTCTGATTTGGCCACCCAGGGCAGGAAAGTCTCTAAGACTCTTACCTATAATTTACCACTAAAAAAAAAAAAAAAGGTCAAAACTAGAGTTGTGGTTCAAGTGGTAGAATGCCCACCTTTAGTGAAAAAGCCAGAGGACAAGGCCTAGGCCCTGAATTCAAGCCCCAGGATCAGGACAAAAACAATTTCCCTTGTATACATGGCTCCATCATTTTTAGCTGTAAATTGCAGGAAGGCCCTTTCTGTTGGTTTTGCAATTTTTTTACTGAAATAAAGTTCATGCAGCCCAAAATTCAATTTTAAAGTTTAGCTTTCAGTGTATCTATAATATTGTACAATCACCATCATCACTGCAGAACATGTCTATCATCCCACAAATGAAACCTTATACACGTTTGCACTAACCACTATTTATTCCCTTTACCTCTGCCCTAACCGCTGTAAGTCTGCTTTCTGGCTGTGTGAATATGCCCTTTCTACACATATATGAACCATAAATATGGTCTTCTATATCTCATTTCATTCACTTGGCATGTTTCAAACATTCCCTTATGTTGTAGTATGTAGACCAGCACTTCATTCCTTACATAGCTGAGTAATATTTCACTGTATCAGTTGGTGGATGTTTCCTTGTTTGGGCAATTGCAAATAATGGATCAGGAAGTAACTATGTACAAATTCTGATTGAACAACTCTTTTCAGTTTTCTTGGACACAAATTTGGGAGAACTGATAGGCCATAAGAACTCTTATGTTTAAACCATTAAGGAGCAGCCAAACTCTTTTGGAGAGCAGAGCTTGCATCATTTTATATTCCTATTATTACTGAATGCAAAGGTTCCAATTTCTTCATATTCTCCTCAACTTACTTTCTATTTAGGTTTGCTATCTTCTTTTTTAAAAAATTAATTTAATATTGCCAAGGTGATGTACAGTTACAGTTAGTTATATACATAAGGTAATGAGTACATTTCTTGTCGAACATTGATTACACCCAGCCTAGTGGATGTGACCCAATATCTCATTGTGATTGTGATCTGCCTTTTCCTAAGGAATTAATGGTGAAATACTTTTCACTTTTTTTATCTCTTTTAAAGAAATGGGACTCAAACTACGTCCATTTTAAAAACTGATATACAATTTGTAAATGTTTATCCAATTTTGTGGATTATCCTATCACTTTGACAGCATTTTTTCATAAACAAAAGTTTTAAATTTTGGGCGCTCCCTTGGTTTCCTGTCTTTATCTGGTTGACACATTATTTATTGAGTAATTACTAAATGGGCAAATGTGACTTTGGGGAAGTTAGTGATCCTTTTGGAGTGACAATTTTCTGATTGTTGTGAATATAAATGAGAAAACACAAAAAAGGAACTTTGGCAGGGCCTGGGTTCTCTGGCCTATAAAACAAACTCACTGTACCTGTTGTTTTCACTATGATCTGTGAAATGAAGGGTAATAAAGTCAATTTGTCAATGCTCTTCATTGCAGATCACACAGATAATTTAGATGTTAAGGGTTAAGGGGAAGATAGCACCTTTGTTTTGGAAGCAGCTCATTGCTGACAATATTCAGGAATGAGAGTAAGGAGTAGTTAGTGTGGGTAAGCTGGAACACAGATTAAAAAAAAAAAAAGCCAAGAACACTTTTCTGTCCTCTGTTTTTTTTTTTTTTACTGAGTAGCAGCACCTACCCTGAGCATACAAATCTGCGGGATATTACCACCACAAATTCACTGCTGAGTATCAGCTGACTATGTAGTGAAAATCATTTGTGAACTGGATTAAGTACCCAGAAAAAGAAATCCTTTAAACACAAATCTAAGAATAGAATGCTTTACGAGTCCACAGAATGTATACTGAGGGTTTGCAGAGACTGCAGTAAGAAACAAAATATGTCAAACACAATATCCCTAACATCTTGCTGTGATAAGAGTTCCTGGATCTAACCACAAGGCATCATATAGTGAGTTCCATTATAACCAGTTCTGCCCCTAGATGAATAACAATCCCAAGAAGTTTGTACTGTGTTGGGTTTCCTTCTTCAGATCTCTATGGAGTAGGTAGAGACTCTTCCTCCAGATTACAATAGTCAAAGTCCCTCCTCCTTCTCCTCTTCTTCCTCAGATTTGCTGTCAGGAATCTCTCCTTCTCTTGGTACCCATGGTATCAACCATTGTCTATCCCATTATGATTACTGATGAGTCTGATGTATATCCTGTACCAAACAATTAATTCCAGACAGGAGAAGACTTGCTTGATGTTACCTTAGGACCTAGGACCTGGCCTTTGATAGAAAGAAGGTTAACAAGTACTGTAGCAAAGAATAAAAGAATAAAGGGAGGAGGTCTTAGCTGTGGAAGTTAGTACCATACGTCCACTTTTACTAGCAAAAGTTGTTATATGTGTAGTTTATAAAGCACCTTGCATTTTGGAAATTTCATGGTTTTGTAATCAGTCCCTCAGATTGAAAAGTTCCTATGCCCTGAGAAAATTTGAGAGAAAGAGATTTCTAAATTCAGGTAAAAAAAGATTAGCTGAAGCAGAGTTCAAGACCAACCCAGGCAAAGCTAGGGAGACTATCTCAGAAACAAAACACAAAGCCAAAGAGTTGTGTTTAATTAATCCCTAGTACACTTAAAGTTTAAAATTAAAAAAAAAAAGGAAGAAGGGCCAGGTGCTGGTGGCTCATGCCTGTAATCCTAGCTACTCAGGAGGCTGAGATCTGAGGACTGTGGTTCAAAGCCAGCCTGGGCAGGAAACTCCATGAGACTCTTATCTCCAATGAACCACTAGAAAACCAGAAGTGGCACTGTGGCTCAAGTGGTAGAGTGCTTGCTTTGAGCTGAAGAGCTCAGGGACAGTGCCCAGGCCCAGAGTTCAAGTCCCACAGCCAACAACAACAACAAAAAAAAAAAAAAGAAGGAAAAGAAGGAAAGAAAGAGGGAGGGGGAGGGAGAGAAAGGAAGGAAAGTCAGTTAAGTAGAGGATGGAAGGATGAGGGACAGGTCTCTTTAGTGGCTCATTCATCTCTGCGCATGATTTTCAAAGCTGTCAAGGTGATCATTTAGAAGGAAGATACTTTTTCTGAGTAATCATACATTGTCCTATTTTGAGCTACTAATTTATACATAAACATTGCAGACAGAAGACAGCATTTCCTTATCCACTTATCTGTGTAATGTCATAGCCAAAAGAAGAAAAAAATATGCAGAGAAAAAGAAAACCAGTGAAAGTGAAGGAGTCTAATATTAATGACTGCAATAATCTACTTACTTGCACTGTGCATGATAATACTTTATAAGATTCTGCAGCAGGTCCACACCCTTTTTGGTCTTGATTTCATTAACTTTAATGAGATACTGTGAAAATAAAGCAGAATTTTAGGTTGGGAATTCCAGACAGGGCTCTTGAGTCAGAGTTCAGATGGCAGAACATATTCCGAAACCTGTGCAAGTCAGCCAGCCTCAGTGGTTATTAGACAAGGTGAGCTTAACTTAGAGAAGCTGATGTGGCAGTCACGGGGTACACAGCAAATGGGTGAGAGTGTTAGCACTTGATAAGTCCTTACAATCAGCTCACTAGACAAGCAGAAATGAAACAGTAAGAGAACAGCTGTTTTTTTCCCCATGGTGAAGTGGATCTCAAACTTATAGTTCATGTAAAAGGTAACTGCTCTTTGCAGAAAACAAGAAGAACAACATTCTCTTAAAAAACTGTACTGAAAATTTTAAACCAAGGATGTAAATCAGAAAGAATTTTTGCAACCCCAAAATGAGAATAAAAATAACATAGATAGTTAATTAAATAGCATTGGAGATGGTTTTCATCAATTGTCAAGATTTTCGAAGGACATGTTTGTTTCTTACACACTTGTTTTATTACATGTAAAAGATTAGGAGCAAACAAGTTGAAGGAGCCAAAGGTTGATGAGGAAAAAAAAAGGATCAAAAAATTTAAAATGAAGCAAAACCCCCATTTTCGTATTTTCTGAAAACTGCAACAGCACTTCCATTATTCAAAAGCAGACTAGAACCAGTGAAGATAGGTCCCTCTCTAGGGGGAGGAGTGCTAGTGTTCTGTAGGAACTCAGTTTGAGAACCACGGCTGTAGGTTTATAGCAGCATGCGTTCTTTCACAATCTTAGACTTCCTTATGGATTACTTTAAGCTCTCATTCCAACTAAACCCATGATTAAAAAAACACATGCTCTAAACTTGTAATAGTCATCAGTGTTACCACTCCTGAAAATTTTCCCCACAACTCAATCACTCTCAAGCAACATTAAGGTTCTCACCAAAGAATCCTGCTTTGGCTTAAAGAGCCCCTTAGGACCAAGGCTCAAAATATGAGACAACAGTGCAATGGTGGATCCCAAAAAGCTTGGAGAAAAATGGAGATTAGAATCCTTAGGAAACAGTCCCCCCCTCTAATAAACAAAGCCTGACTTCTAGCATAGCGCCTGCTGACCAGCAGGGAATGACTACAATCATTAAATCACAGGCTCATGATGAACAGTTCCATCTTACTTCACACATCTGAAGCTGAAAGAGGCGTCTTTCCTTCTCCATTTCTTCTGCAATCTCGGCTCCTGTTATCTCTGTGCGGATCATCCCATGCTGCTTTGCATGCTCTCTTTTTTCCTTCTCAATTTTTGTACTGTAATAAGCAGATATCTTTTATGTTGTTGTTATTATTATTTTTGAGTAAAAATCACTTGCTCTTGTCCAACACCAAGAGTGAACCTAAAGCATACTCTGGGCTATATGATGTATGGGGTGGAGAATGTAAGACAACATTCTGTATCATCTACTCAAGAAGAACATCTGACTAAGAAACATAGTTCAGAAAGTGCTATGAAAGTGGCTCTCTGAAAAAAAATAAGTGGCTGTATGGTTCAAAGTGGACTAGCCTTGAGCAAAAACTCAGAAACAGTGTCCAGGCCCTGAGTTCAAGTCCCACAACTGACAGAAAAAAAAAGAATAAAAAGAAAAAAAGGAGAAAAGTACTCACCTATTATACACAAAATCCGGAGTTCAATTCCAGTAATGAAAAAAAAAATCTTCGAAAATAAATCATTATCTTTCTTACTTACTAGAGTTAAGAGGCAAGAATTCTTTTTTTGGGGGGGGGGTCCGGTTGTGGGGCCTGAACTCTGGGTCTGGGCACTGTCCCTCAGCTCTTCAACTCAAGGCTAGTGCTCTACCATTTGAGCCACAGCGCCACTTCTGGCTTTTTTCTTTTTGCTTATGTGATGCTGAGGAATCAAACCCAGGGCCTCATGTATGCAAGGCAAGCGCTCTACCATTGAGCCACCTTCCCAGCCCAAGAGGCAAGAATTCTTAAGTTGACAGAATCAATTATTAGTAGCAAATCTAGCAAACACACTGTGGATTTTCATGAATATTTTAACTTTGATCTTACATAAGACAGATCCATAAATATTCTCATTCTGGTTGGCATGAAGACATTTCTTGGGTAAAGTACTTCATAACGAAAAAGAAGCATAAAATTGGAGATATGAGGCTTTTCTGATTATTGGTAGATGGTAAAACTTAAGAATTATTTCAAGACAAAGTCTATAATAGGTCTTTATGGGTATGCATGAAAATTAAAGGTAATTTCTAATAGCTTCTAAATGGGTTATTTTCACATGCCAACAACCACCATATTTTAATCAATATAGCCACTTATCCAAGGAGTATACAAAATTAAGACTTGGAGAAAACCCAATATCTAATATGGAATCCTATGAAAATGTTTTCCTGTGGGGTGAGGGGGTCATGGGGGAACCAGAGAAAAAGAAGGCATGCTCACATTAAACTGACAGTACCTACGGTAGAATGTGGCTATGGTAGATTGTATTCTGGTAACTGTATCTATGATCAGCCCTCTATCCAAAATTCCATTTAATTTGAAAATGGACTTCAAAAACACTCTACTTTCTGATTATAACTGCAGGACTGACTTAGCTTTAGCCTTCAAGTCTCCTTCCTTCTTTCCTTTCTTCCCTTCCTTCCTTTGTCTTTCTTCTTTCTTTCCTTTCTCTTCCTCTTTTTTCCTCCCTCCCTCTCTCTCTCTCTCCTCCCCCCCCCCCCCCCCCCCCCCCCCCCCCCCCCCCCGCCAGTCATAGCACTGTCCCAGAGCTTTTCTGCTAAGGTTAGTAGTACTCTACTACTAGAGCCACAACTCTACTTCTGGCTTTTTGGAGGTTAACTTGAGATAAGAATCTCACAGACTTTCTTGCCTGGGTTGGCTTCAAACTGTTATCTTCAGATCTCAGTCTCGTGAGTAGCTAGGATTACAGGCATAAGCCACTGACACCCAGCAGCCTTCAAGTCTTTAAGCTGCAGTGGTAATAGTATGGGGAGTCAAGCAATAGAGAAAAAGCCAATAACTTCGCCTATATAAAAACAAATAACTCATCAACCAGTGGAAAATCTATTGCAAACCTGGTTGGGATTCATTCTAATTTACCAATGCTATAATCAAGCCCTTTGATCTTGCCTGGTAGTCAAATAGGTGTGATGGCAGGGATTTTAGTAGAACAAGAATAAATCTCAGATACCTCTGACTGACCTGGCTGGAAAGAGAACTGGAAAGTTTGAAAAGAACTTCAGGGGTAGGAGTGACTTAACAATGATGCCCTGCCAGTCTCCTGGCTCACCATGGGCATGGTAACACCAATCTTATCTGTTTTGCCTCTACAGATTCCATTAACATCATAGTCAAGGCATAAGCCTCTCAAATGCAAGACGAATCGATAACAAAAAGGGTGAGAAATTTCAATGAATACTTGGAAGATTAAAGATGAAGAGAGTGTGCTTGCTTATGAGCTTCCAGAACGCCATCATATAGGAGGGGAACAAGGGCACTTAAGAACCCTGAGATCTCAGACTGACATTTAGAATACATCTAATGAGAAAGTTGTGTTGGTAACTTAAAACTTAAAACCCCAAAGAAGACATATTTTCTTGACAATTCCTGCTGACATACATAAGCCTCTAAGAATTCTTTGGGAGGGCTGGGAAGGTGGCTCAGTGGTAGAGCGCTTGCCTTGCATGCCTGAGGCCCTGGGTTCGATTCCTCAGCACCACATAAGCAAAAAAAAAAGCCAGAAGTGGCACTGTGGCTCAAGTGGTAGAGCACTAGCCTTGAGCTGGAGAGCTGAGGGACAGCGCCCAGGCCCAGAGTTTAGGCCCCACGACCGGACCCAAAAAAAAAAAAAAGAATCCTTTGGGAGGCCGTCTTTGAAATATGAATGTGCTTGATGGCTACTAGCTTTAGGATTTTCCAAAGCTCCTTAGCCTCTCTAGGCTTATGTTTCCTGATGTATAATAGAGATGAAAGCTGTATATTCATAGGCTGCTGTGAGGGGTTCACACATGCAAAAGACATTGAAGTGCAGGTCTTGGCAGAAGAATGGTGCGAACGTTTGCTATCACTTTTATTATTTCTCAATTGTTACACTATACAGAAATGCAAATGATCGACAGTTGTATGCTAGCAACCAAAAATGCCAAAATAATCAATAATAAAAGTGTCTGTCATGCCAGACAACTAGCACAGAAAACTTACATAACCACTTCCATGTATGGGTATGTATGTGTGCAGGTCCTGGGGGCTTGAACTCAGGGTCTGGAGGCTATCCCTGAGCTTTTTTGCTCAAGGCTAGCACTCTATTACTTCAGCCATAGCTCTATTTCCAGCTTTTTGGTGGTTAATTGGAGATAATAGTCTCCTGGACTTTCCTGTCAGAGCTGGCTCCAAACGGTTATCCTCAGATCTCACCATCAGAGTAGCTATAGGATTACAATGTGAACCACTGGTAGCCAGGCAATAACCACTTTTATCTAGGTCAGTGAATCCAACTTTTCTGTTCTTAAAAGGACATACTAAATGGCTTTTTGTTAGGAAGACATTAGTTAAGGGCTCTAAGCTTTTTTAAGTTACATTTTCTTTGTCCTCTTTCTTTTCTTAGCTTACATTAGTTATGCAGAAGGGGAATTCATTGCTACATTTCCACACATGCTTACAATATGTTCCAATCAAATCTCACTCCCAAGTTACTTTTTTTTTTTTTGGTCAGTCATGCAGCTTGAACGCTGGCCTTGAGCAATTCAGCTCAAGGTGAGTACTCCACCACTTGAGCCACACTGCCACTTCCGGTTTCTGGAGTGGTTTTTATTGGAAGTAAGTCTCACGAAGTTTCCTGCACAGGCTGGCTCAGCTTCTTGAGTAGCTAGGATTATAGGCATGAGCCACTGACACCCGGCCCCAAGTTACATTTTTTAAAATGAAATTTGTGACGGCAACAACAACAACAACAAAACCTACAAAATAAAAAGCCACTTACAACTTTGTCTCATAATCTTTCCAGGCTTTGTCAAATGGCTTCTTTAGATCCTTAAAAAGGAGAAAATGAAATTGAATTTACTTTTGCTAAATCAAATAATTCTGAAATAATGTCTTAGCAAAAATGACCTTCCTTTATAGGATATTTCAAACTTTACCTAAGATGCTTTGGTGCACATTATAAAATATTACACATGTGAAATCTGAGAGAGGCAGGAAAGGTAGGTGCTCCCAGTTCTGCCAATGAAACAGGATCCAGAGGTTTGGAGAGCCCAGTCCATGGTGGTTACTCAAGTCACAGGCCTAACCTCTCTTTCTCTCCTCCCCATGTTCCCACCCGAAAATCTCTCCAATCTTCCTGAAATTGTCCAATCTTGTTTCTTGATATCACGATGTAAAGTGGTATCATTTTTTTCAATGATCATTTTTTTTTCAAGAACATTTTTTTCAGTTAAAAATGTTCCGTGTCTTTCAAATACATATACTACTGTGATCTTAAAAAGAGGAAAAGATAGTCAATCCTTTCAAGATAGGAGTGGATATAAAAATTTCTCAACACTTACCCCTTTGACTCCCTTGAGGTCTCCTTTTAACAAGGAATCCAGGGTGAAGATCACATTGTGGCTCAGACCCTGCAGCTGCAGAAAGACAGGAGACAGTTATTTAAAAAAAAAATGCCACCAGCCCCTTCTGTCTGAGCATTTCCCACACAGGCTATATTCAAGAAGATCCGCTTGAGTCACCCCAGTGAACCTGTGTGATATCCCCTGCATTAGGCAGCACAACTATCTCCACTCTGTAGCAGAAGATGTGGGGACAGAGGTGGAGGTACCACGTGGCACCCAGAGCCTGGAGTACCGTGCATAGTCTACCAGGACACTGATTCCCCAAGTTATCTCAGCATCTCATTGTCACTTGTACCAAAACTGTAGCTTTTTATGGGAATCTTCTTCAGCTGCTTCAGTCAGAGGAAGGAGAGACGTATACACCTGGTTTGTACTATCTCCAGTATTAATGTCTGAAATTGCCTGCTTGTGCTGACTCTTGCACTGGAATGGATACTCAGTGACCTTGGCTGCTTGTCTCCCAGTACAACCTCAGTGTCAGGTTCCATTACAACTATATATACATATATATGTATATGGATATATGTATATATATTTAGATAAGTCTCACTATGTAGTTCAATCTGGCCTTAAACTCAAAATTTTCCTGCCTTGGTCTCTTAAGAATCAGGGTCACAGGCTCAAGCCACTATGCCTGGCTAAAACAAGATCCTTCAAACTGCAATCTTCAGTTTTTCACTGATCTGAGGCAATGGCCTGGGGCTACTACTAGGTCTTTAGAGGAATCTACAAAAGGAAGATGGAGATGCTGCTTGGGTGGAAAGAATAGCATCAGAGGAAACAAGGAGAGCCATGGATGGCCAAGTGTGAAAACAATAAGCAATACAGGATCTGAAAACAGTTTAAAACATGGTCATTCTTCAGTAGGACCTCCAAAATCCTGGTAAAGTCAGTTTATGAAGGATGGAAAGCCTTTGTGGGGCAACTCATTGTAGAAGTGATTTCAGTCATTTAAGTACACTCACCTGAATGTCTGTCTACCTGTCCATCCATCACTTACTAAACACCTACTCTGTGCCCCACATTATGCTAGCAGTTACACAGGCAGAGATGAGAAACACCTCCTATTTTTAGAGGGCACATAGCCAACAATCGCACATCGTGCTATGATATATGTGAGAGATGGAGGAGAGTGCGGTGTGAAAACATCTCTAGCACTGACCCAAGGGCTTTGTGTGGACCTTTTAACCACATCTGTAGAGTGAGGGTGTTATTTTCTATTACTCGTGGCTGTTGGGAAGGTGGAATGAGTTCATGGACAGTGCTGGTTGATATCTACAAAGTGAAAAATAAATGTTTATTTTTTTAAATGCCATAGAATAATAAATAAGAATAAGACAATGGGAGAAGAGAAGATCTTTTCTTTGGTTCCTAACTTCTACTTAAGTGCTTTCCTGTGGTTCTCATCTTAGAATTCCTGCAGCTCTTAAGTCATTCTCCTTCGTCTTCCCAACCACATATCCACAACCCTAACTAATTTTACCCACAAAGAAGGCTTCTTAATGCATACCACCAGAGGACTGGGTCACTACCAACCACTTCTTTCTCTGTTCAAAGACAAGAGAATCCTGCCAAGATAACTGTGTCCCTGTGACTTTGCCACCATCCACAGAGATAACCTGGGTAGCAAGCCAGAGTGATATAGGCTGTCTGTTCTGTTATGGGATAGGATATTGGTTTGGGGAAAGTAGGGTAAAAAAAAACAAAAAACAAACAAACAAAACCTTAGGTTTTATAAATGTGTGGCCCTCTAAGGCCACAGGATATAAAGTGATTTGGGATATCTATGAAAATTTTGTGCAGGGAGAACAAAGGGGAGGAACGTCCACAAAGCCTCTTGGATGGAGGTAGCTGTAGGAAAGAGTAATAGTAGCAGCAGCAGTAGTAGCAATAATAATAACAACAATGATAATAAATAATGACGATGATAAAAGCTGAAAAACACTGGCTTAGAGTTTGAGAGAGAAGACATACACTGTGCTGAGAGGGACAGCTGGACAGCTAGAATCAGACTACTCTCAGTGCTCAATTTCATTCTGTGGCACCAGTCCCAGTAAGCACCCTGAATGGCTATTAGGAGCATGTGTGGATGGTGGGTGAGGTTCTTTTCTAGAAAGCACCTGGCTAATCTCCCCAGCCACTTGCATGCTTGCTTCCTCATTTGTTTGCAGGCCTCCCAGGTTGCAGGCAAGCCTGCTGAGAGCCAGGTGTGTGTTTACTGTTGCAGTCCTAGAGATTTGGAGAAATGAAATATATCATATGTGCACATGAAGGACTGCTCTACATGGCTGCTCCTTTTGTTGGAAAGTGAAGTGCCTATCAATATGGGTTAGGTATATAGTGTAAGGGTTAGGGGTTAGGAGTTGGGGTCAGGCTCAGGGTCAGCAAAGGAGTTAGGGGTTGGCTAAAAAAAACTACAGAACTTTAAACAGCAGTCATAAAAATGAGAAAGCTTTTCATGTCTGACTTTGTAACTATCTACAAGGTAAGTTTCTATGTGATAAAAGCAGGGTATACAATGAATGGTGTACAAGGATTTATATAAAAAGATGAGGGAAAAAGGTCTATGCTTAAATTATTTCTAAAGAACACAGTAATCTGCTGATCTACAGAGCTGGAAACTGGGCAAAAGATCAGGTTGGGATAGAAGACTTTTCACAAGGAAAAAATTGGTAATAGGCAATATGTTCATTACAGCGAGTCAAAATTTAAAAGGAAACATGAAAAGAGAGCAATTACAGATTGTAACTTTTAGTCTTAAATTATGTTTTTCATCAAGACTCCTGAAACCCAAAACTTATCCAACCAACAAAATATTGTTATTGCTACCTTGATCTGTAGGTGTATTACAAAACAACAAAGGAATTATGAAACCTGTGGTTTATGCTGATTATGAGGGCTGTTCTGAAAGAAATGTCCCTCCAAAGCCATGAGCTGGCCACCCACAGTAACCTTTCATAGTCATCACTGTAGTTAGACTTGTATGATGGTGGTTGCAGTGACGGAAAACCCCAAGAATTAGGAATTTCTCTGTGGTTATCTACACATGTTTTGTTAGGGGCTGGTAAGACAAGGCAGCAAAATACTGTGAATTAGAAATCTAGAATTTTCAGACTTGGTTAGGAAAAAGCCATAGGAAAACCACTGAAACTTTTCAAACTTTTTTCAATTTACTTCTCAAGAGGAAGTTAAAAAACCCGTGAATCAGGCTGTCCTGAATGGTGAGTGAGTGAGACCGATAGGAATATGAGAAACACAGAAGTCAAAGAGGAATTAGAACCATCTCAATAAAAGGAAACCTTTAGGAAGTACTCACCAAGGGCCAAAACAAACCTTCCTATCTTAGAAATCCAAATAAAGAGAAAAAAATTTGGGGGTATTCCTGCTCTGTGACTGAGATGAGTTACATGACCTTACAACAATAGAACTCCAAGTCTTCCTGTGCTTTTACTTTTCTTGTTCCAAGTTCTGCTGCATAGCTGTGTAACAAAGTCCTCTACAGGCAGTTACAGACAAGCCACACAATGGACACAGTGGACTAAATTCCCATGGTCATCTTCAATGGATTTTTAGAATTCCTGTCAAATCTACTATTGCCTTATTCCCACTCATTTTACTAAAATTCAAGCCACCATTCTATTCCCATTTACTCAACTTCCAAACCACTTTCTTTCCTCTAATGATGAAATGAGATTAAGGTAAGTTTTTCATGTGATTCAAGACTGTAAAGTGAAGAGTGTTTTTAAAAGTACATGTATTTTTTTAAGTACATGTATTAGCTGGGCACCCGTGGCTCACATCTGTAATCCTAGCTATTCAGGAGGCTGAGATCTGAGGTTCATGGTTTGAAGCCAGTCTGGGTAGCAAAGTGTATGAGACTCTTATCTCTAATAAACTACTCAGAAAAAGCTGGAAGTGGTTCTGGGGCTGAAGTGGTAGAGTGCTAACTTTAGCACAGAAAGGCTCAAGGACAGAGCCCAGGTCCTGAGTTCAAGCTCCAGAACCGGCAAAAAAAAAAAGTATATGTATTAAATAAGCAGTGCATTAAAAACCATTTCACGAATATATTTGTTTCCAAACAAGTTACTGTTTAATTTCTTCCCCTATAAAAGGGCTATTTCCTCTGCCAGAACGTATATATCAACCCAACCAGAAATAAGAAGTCAGACAGATGGAAGCTGAAGTGTATTCTTTCAATATGCACAAGGGACTTGTTTAAACAAATAACTAATTAAGATGAGCTCTGATAAAAATAACACTTTCTCTCTCACAATTGCTACAACACTGACAGTCTACAATCAGCCCTAGCATCCCAGCTGCTGGAAATGAGCTCACAAGCAGTTTTTCCTGTATGTATAAACACATATATATTCTGCCTTGACTCTTTTTGGGTTGCTGTTGTCAGCTACTCAAATGTTTGAACTAATGGCCTGGTGCCACCTGATCCACATCTCCACCCTGTCTTTCTGCACATTATTTTGGAGATGAAGTACGTCAGACTTTTCTTGTCTGGGCTGGTTTCAAACTGTGATCTTCCAAATGTTGGCTTCTTGAGTAGCTGAGATTACAGGTATGAGCTGCCAGTGCCTGGCTAATTTTCCTTTTTTTTTTTTTTTTACCATTTTATAACTGCCTCACCAATGAAATGATTATTTTTGGTTATTTATGACTATACTGCCTGTCTCTTCTCATTTGAAGGTAAACTTCTGCTGTAGGGAGGAGGGCCCCATCTGTTTTGCTTGTTAACCAACCAGATCTCCAAACAGCAATTCAGGAACACCACCACCTCTGGCATGCCTGAGCTGTGCCTCACTGACCCTTAGCCATTCAAAGGGCTGTACTGTCTTCTATGTGGAGGAGGGGCACAAGGCAGCAGTGCCCCCTTTTCTTGTTTCAGAGCAGGGTAGAGAATAGCCTCACTCTGTAGACAAGATATTCCTAGTTCCCACATGAACGTTAGACTGTATTAACTAACAAGGACATAGTTTGCTTGCTTTGTCACCATGCACTAA